CCCCTCCAACAAGGGGCTACTCTGATGTTTGAAAACCACTAGACATAGACGTGAGGTCAACTGTCTGACCAGGAGATTGGGAAGGAAACAAAGCCGCTTACCCAAGTTGGAGCATAACATAAAGGATGCTGAGGTCAGATGGCAATGTGACCCACATCTGGCAAGAATAGATGTATATGTTACAAACACAGACTATAAAAAAACTGTCAGCCTTTGAGGGAGACACTGTCTTTGTAATGTAGAAATAACCAGTCTGTACAGACTTGGAAGTGGTAAAACCAAAGCTTATGAAAATATTTTTAAAAATATTAAAAATTTCCCTAGCAGAGCAGCCTACTGTGTGGAGCATAATACAGCAACATTAATTTTAGGTCAAATCCTTTGGACATAATGTGACCTAAAAGTACATCACATTTAGAGATGCACTTTTGCTTCTATAATGTTTCAATATTTTAAAAGTGTTTTTCATGTAAGAATGAAACAGTAAGACACTGTTGTGTACTTCTCCTGTTACGGTATAAGCAGCAGCAGTACTGTGGACAAAATACCCGGCTCTGGTCTGCGTCTGAATCATCCTGGCTCTGCCCTTACTAGCTGGGTTATCCTGGAGGGTATATTAATATCTCTGGTTAGCCTAACAATCAGTTCATCTAGGAACTACAAGGCTGTTGAGGGTTAAATAAGACCTCATGTAAAATGTTTTAACCTAGCACACAGAAAGGGCTTCCATCCGCTACCCTGGTGCTCAGCAACTTATTAATGGAGAAATACTCATCCAATCATTTTTAGTACTTAAAATGCTATTTATCAACTAAACTCAAGCACGATGAAAAAAAAGTTGGAATTACTTCAGATTTTGAGGTAGAATGAGCTTTACTAATTTTGTAACAGAGTAACACTCTGTAATATGACATTGTACTTTTAAACTGAAGACTCCTTATGAAAAGTTAAAAATGTGTTCTTAAAACAAATTTATTGAAGCTGAGCATATTTACATTATACAATTGTGCATATCTGTATTTTAAAATTATACAATCGTTCACTGTGTAAAATCTGCAAGATACAGGTAAGCAAGCAAAGAAAAATTATCCCACCAGAGATAAATGCTGTTAATCTTTTGGTAAATCACCTTTAGAGCTGTTTTGCAGGGTAGATACCTAACACAAACAACTGGTGGCATTAAATCTGCATGATTTTTGAAAAGCGATTCTGGAGTGGAATCCAGAATAAATTCTGCAGTGGAATAAAACTCAATTGCAACTTTAGAAGATAAGCACTGCCAGCTGGGCGCGGTGGCTCCTGCCTGTAATCCCAGCACTTTGGGAGGCCAAGGTGGGTGGATCACTTGAGTTCATGAGTTTGAGACCAGCCTGGCCAACATGGTGAAACCCCATATCTACTAAAAATACAAAAATTAGCTGGGCGTGGTGGTGTGCGCCTGTAATGCCAGCTATTCAGGGGGCTGAGGCACGAGAATCGCTTGAACCCAGGAGGTGGGGGTTGCAGCAAACCAAGACATGCACTGCACTACAGCCTGGGAGACAGAGACTCAAAAAAAAAAAGAGATGCACTGCCAATATATGAAAGTACTTTGTAGGAAGTACTTGAACAATGAATACACTCTATACTGCCTACAGGTATAGCTTTAAGAATTTAAAGCACATTTAAAGCACAAGGTTGATGGGTTGATGCTTTCCAAAAACGCCAGCACTTTAGAGGAACGGTCTTATTTAGTACTGCCAGCTCTGTAAAGTATTATAAGCCCTCTGATGATACAGCACCATCCCCATTTTACAGATAAGGAAACAGAAGCACACGCAAGTAACACACTGAGCCACGCTATTAGTAAGGGCTGAAACCTGAGGTGTCTCAGATGACTCCTCCGTCATAAAGCCAAACTTTGATGCTCAATATTTTTAATGCTACCAAATTAGAAAAAAGAGAACATGGACACTTACATATTTTCACACTGAGTGTACTCTTTACTAATATTTTATTTTTGAGATAGTGTCTTGCTCTGTTGTCGGGGCTGGAGTGCAGTGGCACAATCTCCACTCACTGTAACCTCCGCCTTCTGGGCTCGAGCGATCTTCCCACTTCAGCCTCCTGAGTCACTGGGACTAACAGGTGTGTGCAACTATGACCAGTTAATTTTTGTTTTTTCTTTTTTTTGGTAGAGATGGGGTTTCACCATGTTGCCCAGGCTAGTCTTGAACTCCTGGGTTCAAATCATCTGCTTACTGAAGCCTCCCAAAGTGCTGGGATTACAGGTGTGAGCCACCATGCCCAGGGTTTCAGTGTCAAACTCTGAATTTGAATGTGAATGTCAAACTGAGAAACAGGATGGAATGCACAAAAGTAGTGTGTAAACTGAGTAGCTGACATCAGTTGACAGTTAAAGTAATGACAGTATATAAGTATCAGGTGAATGTTCAAGGAATAGGAAACAACTTTGTTAGGATGTCTGTTAGGAAAAAAAAACCCTTAAAAGTAAAATTACATACATCAGATTTTATCCAGATATTAAACTGATGCTGCTGAGGCAGGAGGATCACTTGAAGGATGGGTGTTTGAGACCAGAATGGGCAACAAAATTGAGACCCCACTTCTAATAAAATTAAAAGCAAACTAAAAAAGCTTATGCCAATATACATGTCAATGATCTAAGCTTTGGCTACATAATTGAATTTCTTGAATTTGACAAGTCAAAAAATTGCAATTACTGAACAGGCCATCTCACTGTTACTTCATGTGCAAGTCAGAGATTTGAAAAGTAAGAGGTATTAGAGACGCAGGAAGAAGGAAATGTCTAAATGGACCTTTTCTGTGCCAGGATTCTTCTTTAAAGACTTTCTTTTCTGAAATGTGTTGACTTGTTCATCTCTGAATGAGGAACAATCCAGTGTTTTATATTCAAATTATCCCATGAGTTGAGATTTCTTTTATTAGAAAATATATAATTTGTAATTGTGACTTTAATTTTTAAAAATTACCTTCCAGAAAATATCCCGTCAGCATCAAGTACTAGCTTTGAATTTGCGTGAGCCTTGAATTGCTCAAACCTCCACTATCCTAATTTCTTTATTACATTCTAATTTTTTTTTTTTTTTTTGAGACGGAGTCTCGCTCTGTCACCCAGGCTGGAGTGCAGTGGCCGGATCTCAGCTCACTGCAAGCTCCGCCTCCCGGGTTCACGCCATTCTCCTGCCTCAGCCTCCCGAGTAGCTGGGACTACAGGCGCCCACCACCTCGCCCGGCTAGTTTTATTTTTTTTTTTAGTAGAGACGGGGTTTCACCGTGTTAGCCAGGATGGTCTCGATCTCCCGACCTCGTGATCCGCCCGTCTCGGCCTCCCAAAGTGCTGGGATTACAGGCTTGAGCCACCGCGCCCGGCCTCTACTTCAATATTACAAAGCAATTGCCATGAGAGATTCAAGTAAAATAAAAACATGGTTGATAAAAAAAAAAAGACCAAAACTGTATCATTCTTTTTTTTAGCCAGTTTTAAAATTACAAATACATGTTTAGAATTTTTAAAAAAATTCATGCGATTCTCCTGTCTCAGCCCCCATGGAGGCTACAGTGAGCCGAGACTATGTCACACTGCACTCCAGCCTGGGCAACAGAGCAGGACTCTGTCTTAAAAAAAAAAATATATATATATATATATATACACACACACACACACACAGAGAGCAGGACTCTGTCTTAAAAAAAAAAATACACACACACACACACACACACTATAAAGGGGAAGCGCGATTCTCCTGCCTCAGCCTCCCTAGTAGCTGGGATTACAGGCGTGTGCCACCATGCCCAGCTAATTTTTTTTTTTGTATTTTTACTAGAGACAGGGTTTTGCCATCTTGGCCAAGCTGGTCTCAAACTCCTGGGCTCAAGAGATCCACCTACCTTGGCCTCCCAACGTACTGAGATTATAGGTGTGAGCTACCACACCTGGCCTAAAACTAAAATTTTAAATTCAGTTCCTCACACTAGCTATTATTTCAATTGCTCAACAACCCCATGAGGCTAAAAGCTATCACACTGGGAGTGCGGACACCAAGCATCCTATCATCACAGCAAGTTCACTGGGACAGTGCTGCTCTGTGGTAACCACAGCTGGGCACCTGCATGTATTTTTTTTTTTAATTATTACATGATTTTTCAAAAATTTTTTTCTCCCATTCTGAGGGTTTTCACTTTAATGGTGTCCTTTAAGACAAATTAATTTTGATGAAGTCCCATTTATGTATTGTTTTCCTTTGTTGCTTGTGCTTTTGGTGTTGTATCTAAGAAACCATTCCTAAGCCCAACACCACAAAGATTTACTTCTGTTTTCTTCTAAGAGTTTAAACTCTTATATTTAGGTCTATGATCCATTTTGAGTTAGAATTTGTAATGTGGTAGGAAGTAGGGATCCTTTTGCTGGGCATGTAGCTATCAGTTGTCCCAGCACCGTTTGTTGAAAAGACCACTCCTTCTCTATTGAATGGTATTAGCATCCTTGTTGAAAATAAGTTGATCAGAAATGTATGGGTTTATTTCTAGATGTTCAGTTCCATTCCTCTGATCAATATGTCTATCTATATGCCTACACTATCTTATTGTAGCTTCATAGCACATTTTGAAATTGGTAAAAGTGTCTTCCAACTTTGTTCTTTTCCAAGATTTTTTGGCTATTCTGGGTCCCCTGCATTTCCGTATCAATTTTATCATCAGTTTGTCAATTTCTGCAAAAAATACAGCTAAGTTTTTGATAGGAATTGTGTTGAATAGGTAGACTAATTTGGGCAACATTGCCATCTTACCAATATTAAGTCTTCTAATCCATGAACATGGATGTCTTTCCATTTATCTGGATCTTAATTTCTTTAAACAATATGTTGTAGTTTTATTCTTGATGCTACTGTATGTAGGATTTCTTCTCATTTTCAGAATGTTTTGTTAGTATAGAATTAAAACTGATTTTTGTATAATATTTGATCTTGTATCCTGCAACCTGTTGAACTCATTACTTTTTAGGGATTCCTTAGCATTTTCTATATACAAGTATATATCAACTGTGAATACATATAGTTTCACTTTTTTTGCAGTATAAATGGCTTTTATTAGCTTATTTTATTTTTTAGATGTTGAACAAACCTTGAATTCCTAACCTAACTGCTCTGGCTAGAACTTCAAGTACAATGCTGAATAGAAGTAGTGTGAGTGAACATCCTTGTCCTTCCCAATCTTAAGAGGAAAACATTCAGCCTTCAGTCTATCACCATGAAGTATAATGTCATATGTGTTTTTCATAGATGTTATATTTATCATGTGTAGGAAGATTCCTTTTATTCCTAAATTTGTTGAGTGTTTTTATCATGAAAAGTTTTGGATTTTATCAAATGCTATTTCTGTCTCTATTAAGACAATCTATGTGGGTTTTGTGCTTTATTAAATATGGTACAGTTGATCCTCATTATTCACAATTATGTATTTGTGAATTTACCAACTTGCTAAAATTTATAACCCTCAAATTGATATCTGTGGCACTTTTGTGGTCATTTGTGGATATGTGTAAATGGATGAAAAATTTGAGTCACCCAATACACATGGTCCCAGCTGAGGCTGAACATGATGATGCTCTGCCTTCCTGTTTCAGCCTCTGCCTTCCTGTTTCAGCCTCATAGAGAAATGACTGGAGGATGGAAATGGCAGGGGAAATTCAGTGTAGTACAAGAAGCTCTGGCTCCAGGGCCAGGTGGATGGGGTTTGAATTTCAGCTCTGACACCTGTTAGTGGGCATGTCACTTAACACTTGATACCTCACTTTCACTTCTGTAAAATAAAGTAGAATTTGCTAGGATGAATTAAGAATTCAAGCTCATAATGTGCATGAGATAAACATATGTATACACACATATACACAAACACATTCTCCTAAAAGCAGTTGTTCCATATTTAATTCAGTGTTTGTGGGAGAATATTTTGTAGAACATAATTACTGTCAATAATGAGAACTGACTGTATATTAGTTTATTTGATTTTTAGATGTTGAACCAACCTTGAATTCCTGGGATAAATTCCACTTGGTCATGATGTAGAATCCTTTTTATACGTTGCTGGATTCAGTTTGCTAATATTTTTGTTAATGATTTTTGTGTATTAATAAGGAATATTGGCTTATAGTTTTCTCGTGATATCTAGTCTAGTATCAGGGTAATACCTCCTAGAATACGTTGGGAAGTATTCTATTCTCTCCTACTTTTAGAAACAGTTTGCAAAAAATTAGTGCTAATTTTAATGTTTGGTAGAATTCAGCAGTGAAGCCATCTAGCCCTGGGATTTTCTTTGTGAGACTTTTAAAATTATTAATTCAGTATTTTTCCTTGTTAGTGCCAATTGCATTTTTAACCAACTTTTAGGTAGAACCAAAGATAAGAATATTATCTCATTAGGCCAGTGAAATTCAAGAAGAAAATACATATTATCAAGGAAGATGCTAAATATTTGGAAAATTCAGATAGGCAGCTATGAAAATTATCCATTATATCTTGATTCTTAACCTCTATCTAGCTTTAACAAACATTTGATCACTTCTCATGTGGTTTTATAATCTTATGAACAAGAAATTTCAGCCTGTTCTACATCAGATTTATATACAAACCTCTTAACTAAAACTTGCAGCAAAGTCCTTATCAAAAACTAAAGTCTGTACATTCCTTTAGACAATACACAGCTATGTATCTCTATATATTTATACATATAAATATATTTCACTCTATCTACAAAAATAACACTTAGCTCAGAACCTGTCAGGAAGGCAGTGTGTAGTGGAAAAAATACTGGAATAGATTTCTGGAGGTCTCAGTTCTGGTGCCAGCTCTAACTTAGATGCCTCTATGTGTTTCTTCCATTGATAAAATGAGGTTATGCCTGGTGATCAGCAAGGTTCTTTCTGGTGTTAAAAATACAATGACTTATTCTGCAATAATGCCATTCTCATTGCTCTTACTTCAGATGGTCACGATGAAAATATTTTGTTATATACATATAAACATACACACCTCCATACTTCATTTGTACAGAACTAATCAACGAATTCACAAAATCTTAGAAAGAGGAAGTCTGTGATTAAATAATGTAATTCCAACATCTCAAAGTCCTGAAGTTTGCTATGAAACAGTTACTACTATTCTTTCTCTACATATACAAATTTGCCTTTTCACTTTATGTAAGTGTAGTACTATCTCACATGAGGCATCTATAATTATGCTAACTTTCAAAAACAAGGCGGTCATTTTTCAGAAATTCTGAGCCTGTCAGAGAAACTAAACGGTATTTCATCAGTTGTCTCTACTGGCACATTACTTCGACTAAAATGACATGAAGAATGGTGAGCGAAACTTGAAATAAATGCATCTGGAGTCCGGCTGCAATGACAGCTATCTGCTGGTGTAACATTACTTGGATTACCAGGATGTGAATGGTAAACACCATGGAATGGGTCTTGCAATGAGTGATAATGCCCTGCTGCTCCTGAGGTGGCTGCAGAACTCTGGTAAGGACCATTAGACATAAGACAAGTTTGAAAGCAAGTCTTCCTTCCCAAACCTCGATGCATGTCTAATTTAGCAATGAGAGGTTTCCCAACATTCACTTCCTGCTTGTCCTCTACAGTATCTTCCAATCCTGAGTACTGATATGATAAACATACTGTGAAGACTAGATGTTCCTGGAAAGGAAAAAAATCTGGTTTATTATTGGCATCAACAGTGAATATATAGCAATCTGAAAATATATTCACACATACACACCCTACCCCCTCACCACCAAAAATCCACTAACTCTCCTTTTCCAGATTCCAAATCCTCAAGGCATCCTTTATATCTCCCCAAAACTGAGAAATGCCAGCTATCATCATCTTCCTTTTCCTTCATGCGATACTTACAACACATTTAGAATTTCTAGTTCTTAGTACTGTTAGTAGTCAAAGTCAGAGATCTTATATTCTAGATGAACAGGGAAAACATATTTTCCAAGCAGTGCAGCTTAGGAAACTTATCCTTCCTTATTACTAGAGATGGGGAATGATCTGGGCCGGGCATGGTGGCTCATGCCTATCCCAGCACTTTGGGAGGATGAGGCAGATGGATTACTTGAAGTTAGGAGTTCAAGACCAGCCTGGCCAATGTGGTGAAACCCGTCTCTACTAAAAATACAAAAAATTAACTGGGCATGGTGGCGTGTGCCTGTAGTCCTGGCTACTCAGGAGGCTGAGGCACAAGAATCACTTGAGTCCAGGACGTGGAGGTTGCAGTTAGCTGAGATTGTGCCATTGCACTCCAGCCTAGGTGACAGAGAGACACCACCTCAAAAAAAAAAAAAAACAAAAAACAAAAACCAGTTTTGTACCAGTTTTATAAAAAAAGCTAAAGTTGTTTTTAAAATATAGTAATCCATAATCGTAGATGGAAAATATAACTGAATCAGATAATGGGCTAACTTTTTAAGAGAAGAAAGGACTTTTAAGTAGATGAGCTCCGAACAGGATGACAACAGGTTTACGTGTGTAATTCTCAATTGTGCCCATTCCATTCCCTGAGTTTTAGCTGATACATTCTATGGGCATGTACTTGTGAACAAATTAAAATCTCAATTTTTGCAAAGAAAGCTTTCATTAGGGCCGGGCGCGGTGGCTCAAGCCTGTAATCCCAGCACTTTGGGAGGCCGAGGTGGGTGGATCACGAGGTCAGGAGATCGAGACCATCCTGGCTAACACGTGAAACCCCGTCTCTACTAAAAAAATACAAAAATTAGCTGGGAGCGGTGGCGGGTGCCTGTAGTCCCAGCTACTCGGGAGGCTGAGGCAGGAGAATGGTGTGAACCCGGGAGGTGGAGCTTGCAGTGAGCTGAGATCCGGCCACTGCACTCCAGCCTGGGGGACAGAGCGAGACTCCGTCTCAAAAAAAAAAAAAAAAAAAAAGAAAGCTTTCATTAGAACACTCAACATGCAGAACTAGCTTCTCATTTGTAAGTCAACTAGAAATAAAAAATGGAAAAGAAATTCCAATTCTAATTTGCTATATGTTTAGTTACAGAACTAGGAAATGATTACTTGAAAATCTGAACATATTTAAAAGTAGAATATGGAGCTGGGAGTGGTAGCTCACACCTGTAATCTGAGTGCTTTGGGAGGCCAAGAAGGGAGGATTCTTGAGGCCAGGAGTTCGAGATTGGCCTGGGCAATATAGTGAACTCCCTTCTCTACAAAATGTTTTAAAAAATTAGCGGGGTGTGGTGGCATGTGCCTGTAGACTCAGCTACTTGGGAAGCTGAGGTGGCAGGATCATTTGCACTCAGGAGTTTGAGGTTATAGTAAGCTATGTTCATACCACTGCACTGCAGCCTGGGCGACAGAGTTAAGACTCTGTCTCTACAAAAAGAAAAAAGAATATGTTCTATGTTACTAATTTTTCAGCATTATGGAAGGTAAGCACACAAAGTCCTGTGGCACCAGCAAAAAAAAAAAAAAAAAAAAAAAAAAAAAAAAAAAAAAAAAAAAAATAGCCGTGTGGGCCACCAGACGGAACAGAAATAACAGGACTGTAGGAATGCCACTCACTGGAAACAGATCTAAAAAAAAAAAAAAAAAAAAAAAAAAAAAAAAAAAAAGAAGGGTCACTGATAGGACCTTCTGTAGACTGGTTATCTCTATTTAATAATAAGGCAGCATATCTATGGTCTATGCCAAAGTTTTCCATTAGTAGCTATAAACAGAAAAGGTAGTAACCTTTAATTTTTGCAGTGAACTGAGTCTGGTATACAGGCAATGCTTGGGAAGATCCTTTGATACCAAGTAGCTGCCAGTTTCTTCAGGTGTGCCTTTATTTGCATCTTTTGGATCAATATCTAGGTCCTGTAAAAAAAAAAAAAAAAAAAAAAAAGTGACTGTTAATAATGAAATCAATGAAAGCCACAATATAATCTAGTACATAAGAGGTCTTAACTGATATTGTTCTCTCGTGAATTTTGGCCTTTTGCAAATTTTGATAATCCCAAAATTATCCAGGGCTAAACAATGAAAACAACAATCTATGGTTATAATAGGAATTCTCAATTCTGTATTAAGCCATTTAAAAAGTAAAGTGAGCTCTGAAAGAGTTTCCTTTCAAATGATTCCTAGAAATGCTTCTTGAGCTACTCAAGTTTCCTCTTAAGCAGAGAGAGCCCCATTAGTGTTTGACTCCTGGATTCTCTTCTCTTAATGATCACTTTTGGGAAGGTGCAGGGAAATTTATATGATTAGAATATTTAAGAAGGATAAATAAACAGCCTTTTCCTTTTTCTTCTTTTAGAGCCAACCCAATGGCCAAGAGTAAGAGGGTTCTGCTCCTCCAGTGAGAAGCCCACAGGCCCCTGGCTTGCTCAGCACCCCAGGAAGCCTATCCGGGCTCCATAGTGCTGAAACTGGAGGTGTGGGGTGGCCACTGAATTCTGGGGTTTGGTGCTAGACCGTTTACTCTGACATGAAGCAATATCCTCCACAAAGCCTCTATCAGTAATAAAAGTGATATTTTGGGTTTCTGCTTGTCTTACTCCTTGCTTGCTTCTCAATTTTGTCACACTCATGTAGGAAAGAGGGGTACTCTTTACTGGCTTCTTCAGACCAACATAAAATAACTATCATACCTGAATGTTTGAAAAGAGCAGAACTAGATTTCTATTATTCCAGGATATGACCATACCTTAACAAGACTTAAAAACTACTGTTTCCAATATAAGTTATAACTGTTTAAAAGGAAATTATTCTTGACATATTTGTAGCACATTTTATTCCTTCACATTGGCTCTCCTGTTTAGGATACAAGAAATCAAAGGCATCCTTCCTGAGTGAACTTTAGACATTTCTAAATCTCATAAACTTAAGGTATTTTGGAAGTTAGTAAATATTATGACCAGTGTTACTAAACTATAAATATATACACATATATAAATATATATATTTCCTTTATATTTACCATCAACTGTAAGTTAAAAAATTGAGTCTTTAATAAGTGAGAATATATCACTATTTTAAATAAAAGAGAAACTCACAAGTGGAAAATCGGTAACGTAGGCATCACACATTATTATCTCGGGTGGTTTGTAAACTATACTTGTATAGATTATCATGACATTGGAAAACTCAGCTGCAAATCCTAATTGAATCTGAACACCACAGTCAAACTTAAGACACATACTTTCCGGAAGTTCTGAAAAAGAACAATAAGAATAACTTTGGTAGGTTTCCTGATAAAAGGCAAATATTTATGGAGGAGAATATAGTTAGTATTTCTTTTGCTTAAAAACATGATTTACATTGTTTAAACACATACAATTTAAAAAATAAAGCTCAATATTCTGCTGGCCAAACAAAATCTTTCATTTACCATTTGCTTATAGTTCTTATCCGACTGTATATATAATTTTTATTGTGGCAATAAAAAATATGCATACAACTGTAGATAAATTCTCACTGTTGCCTCAATTTATATGACCAGAATTTTTAATAAAGCACAGTGTCACTGAATGGCCACACTATAGTTTGTTACCTTTAACCATTCTGTTAACTCTTGAATATAATACTTCTGGGTTTTATTGCTTTTCTATCATAGTTCATAATGCTTTAAGATTGTCAGATATAGCTATGTGATTGTTCCTTTACATATGGGACAAATTATTTTCAGTTTACATGGAATATAAAGTTTCAGCATAACATGTCCAAAACAGAGTATTTTTAAAACATTCGTCTACTTGATGGTATTAAAAAGTAGAAAGATACCATCATAGTTTTAACTATTCTTTAATTACTTAAATTAGCCATTTAAAAAATTTCTCTATACTTCCAGCAGTGTGGATTATTGAATTTGCATCATTTGCTTGTTTACTGAGGATCTAAATGTTTTTTTCTCTTACCTTTTTGTATGAGCTCTTTATTATTAAAAAACTACCTACTTATTAAATTTGTTACAAATATTTTCTATACGACCTTTTAGTTTTGTTTTATTGTTTCATTTATTGTTGACCTTTACCACTGTAATTTTTTTGTTTGTTTAGATCTTTTTTAGAGAAAAGACATTCAATTTCAATTACTTATCCAGTTATCTGGAATGGTGAGATATTTATAGCATTTTACATTTTAATGTGCTTTAGTATGTTAATTTACTAAAAATACACATTAGAGAACAAATTTTTTTTGAGACCGAGTTTTGCTCTTGTTGCCCAGGCTGGAGTACAATGGCGTGACCTCGGCTCACTGCAACCTCCGACTCCCGGGTTCAAGTGATTCTCCTGGCTCAGCCTCCAAAGTAGCTGAGATTACAGGCGCCTGCCACCATGACCAGCTAATTTTTTGTATTTTTAGTAGAGATGGAGTTTCACCATGTTGGCCAGGCTGGTCTTCAACTCCTGATCCCAGGTGATTCACCCATCTCGGCCTCCCAAAGTGCTGGGATTACAGGTGTGAGCCACCGTACCTGGCCAAGAACAAAACTTATGTATGAAAATAAAGATATTTTACAGAAGTTCAATAAATACAATTATTTTTCAATTATCTGTAAGAGACTCACAGAATAGATACTTGGACTCAGAAAATCCAAAATTATTTCAATCGGTAAACTTTTTTCATTAAACCATACATAATTAGCAAAAGGTAATTAAGGTACAGATTGATTTTCACCTCGTCATCTCTGCTGATCACTCAGCTTACTGATCAAGTGTCCAAGAGAGGATGCTCAGTTATATATGAATAATCACAAGTACAGAGGACTTGCTGAGTGCTCTGTACCTGCTCATTTCTACCTGCGCACTCATTCAATCCCAATAACCTATGAGGCAGGTACTGTTTTCTTCTTCTTTTCGAGACAGAGTCTCGCTCTGTCGCCCAGACTGGAGTGCAGTGGGACAATCTCTGCTCACTGCACTGTGACCTCCAACTCTCAGGTTCAAGAGATTCTCTCGCCTCAGCCACCCTAGTAGTTGGGATTATAGGCATGCGCCACCACACTCTGCTAACTTTCTGTATTTTCAGTAGAGATGAGATTTTCCCATGTTGCCCAGGCGGGTCTCTAACTCCTGACCTCAGGTGATCCACCTGCCTCGGCCTCCCAAAGTGCTAGGATTACAGGTGTGAGCCACCACAACTGGCCTGAAGCAGGTACTATTTCTTATTTACATGTTATAGATAACATGTTCATACAGTGGTAGAGACTGGATCAGAACCCAATCCATGATTTTCGACAGCTGCACACTTTAACAGGTCACAATATAGGAGAATCTAAGGATTGTGTATTAGATGAATGGAAAATTAACCTATCGTAAAAACAGAAAAATTTTTAAATGGTCATTTTAATTTCACCAATAGTGACAATAATGGGCTAAATAATTTGATATCTCTAACATCAAATACACCAGTGTAATATCCATAATTGAAATATTGGTTTGGTTTGAGATTTGCCTAGAAGGCCAAAATATTTTCACTGTAAAATTGGCAGGAAAGTTATTTATTCAGAAGAAACTTTATGATTTAACATAAGTATATTATAGATCTAAAAAAAAGGCTTTACCATACCATGAGCCTTGGCCCACTGTAGATTCCGCACAAGAGATTCTGCAGAATACTCTGTTCCCTGTATTGGATCGGTAAGTGCTCTCTTCTCAGATAAACTACTTCGAATCTCTAGAGCCTGTTTGCCTTTGGTAAGGTGACACTTACCCATATCTAAAAGATATGAAAATAAATATTTTTCAGACCACCAATTCTTATGTTTTAAATATTTAGGATAAGAACTATCCTACATTATCAGGTTATATTCTCAGCATCATTTATTCACTCAACTAGTATTTCCAGAGCACCTATTATGTGCCAGACACAGCAAGCATGTTTTAATTTTTACTCATGGTATTCATAAATGGTATATGCCAATGTTTTAGGTTTTCGAATTCAACAAAAATGTTATATTATGTATTTGTAATGTGCCATTTTCATTCAACATGTTTTAGATACAGACTAATGTATATGGATACACATCAATTTAAATTTAGAAGTATATTCTTTAAGTTATAGTTTATCATACTTCTGTCTACTACATTATAAATTAACAATAGTAAAGGTTCTTTTTTAAAAAAAAAGAGACAAAAATATATGTGATCCAGAACTAAGTCTAAGTTAAATCAACATGTTGGGGGTTAAAAGGAGACACCTAGTATTGTAGGAGTACATTAAAATTATTATTTGTTAGAGAAGAAAAGATATACAATTTTTTTAAAAAAGGAGAAAATGAGCCAAATCAAAAAATTAGATGGTTAAAATAAGTACAAAAAATAACAAATGTAAATTAACTAAATTTTCTCATTAAAAGACCAAGATTATTAGATTGGATTTAATTTTTTTTTTTTTTTTGAGACGGAGTCTCGCTCTGTGGCCCAGGCTGGAGTGCAGTGGTGCGATCTCGGCTCACTGCAAGCTCCGCCTCCCGGGTTTCCGCCATTCTCCTGCCTCAGCCTCCCGAGTAGCTGGGACTACAGGCGCCCACCATCTCGCCCGGCTAGTTTTTTGTATTTTTTTTTTTTTTTTTAGTAGACACGGGGTGTCACCGTGTTAGCCAGGATGGTCTCGATCTCCTGACCTCGTGATCCGCCCGTCTGGGCCTCCCAAAGTGCTGGGATTACAGGCTTGAACCACCACGCCCGGCCTAGATTGGATTTTAAACAATCTGTTATACGGTGCCTCCAAAAGCTACAGCAAAGCAGAATGACATGAAATGGTTGAAAGTAAAAGTGTAGAGAAGCAGGCTAGCCTAGGGGTTAAAAGTAGGAAACTAAAAGTGTAAAAAATAGCATATTAGGTCAACAAAAAGGAAGCTAGTGTGGCTCTATTAATATGATACAGAAAGACAAAAAAGCATTTGAAATGGAGGCATCACTACAAAATGATAAAGGTTCAATTCAATAAGAAAATATAAACATTTAAAACAAAAATAGTCACTAGGAAGTAAAAAGTGCTAGAATTACAAGAAAATTGGTAACCTGAGAGAGTTCAACATCTCAATTATTGATCAAAGAGACTATCAGCAGAAATATAGAACTGAAAAAAAAACAATAAAAATTAATAGGCCAAACCTAATGGGCACACATAGAGTTCTGCAACCAGTTACTATAAAAATATCCATTTTTTCTCAAGTACACATGCAAAATTTACAAAATTTCATCTTTTACTTGGCCATAATGAAAACCTCCACAAATTTCAAAGCATAGCAACTAGACAGACTATATTTGATCACAAAGCAATTAAGGTAGAAATAAAAAGTGAAAATTCCTGCCATATTTGAAAATTAAAGATAATATTATATAACTTAAAGGTCAAAGAAGAAAAAACTAAAAAAGTCCCTAAACTTGTAGGATGTGACGAAAGTGATGTTTTAAGACAAATGTAAAGCCTTAGAAACTTAAATTGGAAAAAATAGGCTAAAAGTGAATGAACTATGATGATAGAAAAAGAAAGAATAAATCAAATGCAAGGCAAGACATAAACAAACAGCAGAAGTTAGTGATGTAGAAAACAATGAAAAAGTAGAAGAAACCAATGGAGCCAAAGATTGGTTCTTCAAAACGAAATAGCACAACTGGCAAAAGCTGGCAATAAAGAAAAGAGGAAAGTAGGTACAAGTAAGTAATACTGATGAAAATGGATACATAATTACAGATAAAGCAGAGATTAAAGAATACTATTAGAAATATGAGCAACTAGGCCGGGCACCGTGGCTCATGCCTGTAATCCCAGCACTTTGGAGGCCGAGGTGGGCAGATCACAAGGTCGGGAGATCAAGACCACCCTGGCTAACATGGTGAAACTCCGTCTCTACTAAAAATATAAAAAGCCGGGCATGGTGGCAGGCACCTGTAGTCCCAGCTACTGTGGAGGCCGAGGCAGGAGAATGGCGTGAACCCGGGAGGCGGAGGTTGCGGTGAGCCAAGATCGCACCACTGCGCTCCAGCCTGGGAGACAGAGCAAGACTCTGCCTCAAAAAAAAAAAAAGAAAAAAAAAAAAAATGAACATGAGCAACTAAATGCCAACAAATTTGAAAACTGCCTAAATTCCTACAAAAATATTACAATATTACTTATCAAAATGGACTCAAGAAATGAAAAGCCTACATGGTACAATAAATATTCACGATATTGAAGCAGTAGTATTTCTACCAAAAAAACACCAATCCCAGGTTGGTTTATAGGCAAGTTCTACCATAAATAGATCACAATTTATACAGAATTCCCCAGTAAACAACAGGGTGTACTTCTTCTGTATCAGAGTTCTCCAGAGAAGCAGTACAAACAAGATGTGCACATGCGTACGCGTACACGTGTGTATGTGTGTGTGTACCCAGAGACAGAGTGAGAAGAAGGGATTGACTTAAGGTATTGGTTTATGAATTGTGGCGGTGCAAGTCTGAAATCTGCAGGCAGGCAGGCCGGCTGGGGATGCAGAGGAGAGCTGTAGTTTGAGCCCCAAAGGCAGGCTGCTGGCAAACTCACTGCTTGTGGGAGGTCAGTCTTTGCTCCATTAAGGCCTTCGGCTAACTGGATGAGGCCCATTCACACCATGGAGAGCAATCTGCTTTACTGAAAGTCCATCAGTTTAAACTTTAATCTCATCCAGAATAACGCTCGATCCATCACCTAGAGGCATCTTGAATAATGCTGGACTAAATATCTTGGCACTGAGGCCTGGCGAAAGTTGACGTAAAATCAGCCGTCACAACCTCCATCTCATTCTACAAGGCCTACGCTACATTCTATCAGCATAACACTGATACCACTAAATACTAATTTTATTTTCTCATAAAATTAAACCAAATACTATAAGAAAGTAAAATTACAGGCCCATTTCCCATATGAATATAGATATGAAAATTCTAAACAAAATGATAGCAAATTAAATCTAGTAGTATATTAAAAATATAATACATCCCAATGAAAATGATTTATCTCAAGTTGGTTTAATGTTAGACTATAAATTTAACTCACCATATTAAGAAATTGAAAGAAAAGAAACATCCTATTATCTTCTTCATAGCTGCAGAAAAACCATTTAATCTTGTTCAACATTTATTCATAATAAAAATTTTCAAAAAAAACAATGTAAAGAGAACTTCCTTAACCTGATAAGGAGTGTTAATGAAAAACTTACAATATTATTCTAAATGTGAAAACATTAGCAATATTCCCTTTAAAGTCACAACTACCTATTCTATTCAATAGTGTCTTAGCGGTCCTTGCTAGTATTATATCAAGAACACATACAACATTTCTCTAAATCAAACCGAAAAAAAAAAAAAAACCCACAAACACAGTAGAAAAATGGACAAATGACATGAACAGATGTTTCACACAAGATACACATATAGCTATTAAAAATATGAACAATGTTCAATATCACTAATGGTTAGGGAAAATCAAATCAAGACCACATGAGATACTATTTAACATCTGATTGGTAGGCCGGGCGCGGTGGCTCAAGCCTGTAATCCCAGCACTTTGGGAGGCCGAGACGGGCGGATCACGAGGTCAGGAGATCGAGACCATCCTGGCTAACATGGTGAAACGCCGTCTCTACTAAAACATACAAAAAACTAGCCGGGCGAGGTGGCGGGCGCCTGTAGTCCCAGCTACGCGGGAGGCTGAGCCAGGAGAATGGCGTGAACCTGGGAGGCGGAGCTTGCAGTGAGCTGAGATCCGGCCACTGCACTCTAGCCTGGGTGACAAAGCAAGACTCCGTCTCAAAAAAAAACAAAAAAAAAACAAAAAAAACCACATCTGATTGGCAAAAATAAAAAAGTCTGACTATCAAGTGATGGAGAGAGTACAGATTCACATTATCCCTTGCTGGCTGCGGGGAGCAGGGTAAGTGTAGACTTGGCAACCACTTTACAAAACTGTCTGGCATTCTCTCGTAAAATGGAATACTGTCACACCCTACGACAGCAATTCCAAGCCCTAGAATCACACTGCAAAGAGATTCATGCATATATATTCCAGGAGACATATACAAGACTGTTAACCACAACTAACTCGAATGCTCACCAACACAGGAGAGTAGCTGAAAAAAACTGTAGTATGTTTGCATAATAGAATATTACATAGCAGTTAAAATGAAAAACTATGGTCATGCAACAATATGGCTCAATCTTAGCAATATAATATTAAATAAAAAAATTCTAGTCCCAAAAGACTACACAGACCATATCTTTTCATTAAGTTAAAAACAAAACTATGCATACTTTTTTGGGTATATATAAACTCAATAAAACTATGTAAAAAGAAAAAGGAGTAAGTTTAGAATGGTAGTTATCATGGAGCGGGGGAAGGGAAAAGAGAGGTCCTATAATTAGATGTAGGTTACTGTCAAGGTCCTATATTCATATCGAACATCTACTCACAATAAAAACCCTCAGTAGTATGTTCAACACTTCTGATAATAATGCTGTCCTGAATAGTACAAAAATAAAAGTTGGGTTACAGACTGATGGCTGTAGCTTTATAACAACCAATTTACCTCATATTATGTTTTCCTTGCACACAGTTGAAATTCGTAAGGTGGGCCGGGCACGGTGGCTCACACCTTAATCCCAGCACTTTGGTAGGCAGAGGCCGGTGGCTCACTTGAGGCCACGAGTTCAAGACGGGCCTGGCCAACATGGTGAAACCCTATCTCTACCAAAAATACAAAAATTAGCCGGACATGGTGGTGCGTGCCTGTAGTCTTAGCTACTCGGGAGGCTGCGGCGAGAGAATCACTTGAACGTGGAAGGTGGAGGTTGCAGTGAGCCAAGATCATGCCACCGCACTCTAGCCTGCGCAACAGAGACTGTCTCACACAAAGAAACCAAAAACTGAAAAAAGAAATTGGTAACATGTTTATTTTCCCCTTCAACTGCTTGGCTTATAATCTCTGAATACTTTTCCCCCTCTGGAATGTTTTTTGAGACAGGGCTCGCTCTGTCACATACGCTGGAGAGCGGTGGTGTGATCACACTTACTACAGTCTCAAACTCCCAGGCTCAAGCCGTCCTCCCACCTAAGCCTCGCGAGTAGCTGGCAATAGAGGTGCACACCATAATGCCTGGCTAATTTTTAAAATTTTTATAGAGATGGGGGTCTGACAATGTTGCCTAGGTTGGTCTCAAACTTCTGTGCTCAAGTGATTCTTCTGCCTCAGCCTCCCCAAATGCTGGGATTACAGGCACGAGCCACTGTACCTGGCCCCGAATATTTTTTTTTTTTTTTAATTGAGATGGAATCTTGCTGTGTTGCCCAGGCTGGTCTTGAATTCCTGGGCTCAAGCAATCCTCCTACCTCAGCCTCCCAAAGTGCTAGGATTACAGGTGTGAGCCACCATGCCCAGCCATGGAATAATTTTTAATTAAGTAATCCGGAAGATCCAAAGGGAGAAGCAGCAAAGTTCTGTTTCAAAATTGGATGATTTGTGAAAAATTTCATACAACTGCTTTTGCTTTTCAGTACTAAGACAGGGGTCAGACACAAAGCACCCAAAACTCAAAATAAGGGCTAGATTTAACTGTATTATTTATCATGATACTATTAGACCTTTACTTATTTTGTACAATGAGTGGGCTGTTACCCATGAAGGGCACAATGTACATGGCACTGAGCTGAGTGTGCTCCACGTACACTGCAGGCTCTTCCTGCCTGGGCACTTCTAGGTAAGCAGACATGGTAGGACTGAAAAAGACCAGTGAAAAGCAAAACTTTCTAAGACATTTATAAAAAGTTCAAATATCCTCACAGCACATACTGGGATGCTATTCACTGCTATGACAATTTGGTACATATCATATATGGGTGAGCATGGTACTTTTTATTAAGTTTTAAAACAGTTAAAATGTACTTAAAAATGAAATTGAAATAAAACACTGTAGAGTTTCTGGAGCACCTTACTGGATCTCAGTTGGAATATAACTGATGTAATCCAAAGGTTTTTTTTTTTTTTTTTTTTTAAAAAGCAGAGACTTTCCTTCAAATGTGAGCTTCAGAAGAAGCCTAATGTAGAAAACAAATAAAAGTGGAATTTCTCTGGTTGAAGTGGGAGGGTGGCAGGAAGTCCAAAGCCCTGGCTGGTTATGTTAAATGGAAAAGTGGCTAAGTCAAGTGATCTAACTAACATAGCTACACAGATAAAAACATGAAAATAAATATGGCTGACAGTTGGCCAAACACCTTATACCCAAACTGCCATCACTGGAACATCCATGAAACTCCATTTTCTAGTGGTGCTAGTTTGTAAAAGAATTACTTTCTTCCTTTTTATTTGTATTTTTTATTTTGAAGACAGGGTCTCGCTATGTTGCTCAGGCTGGTCTTGAACTCCCGGCCTTAAGTGATCCTCCTGCCTCAGCTTCCTAAGTGCTGGGATTACAGGTTTGAGCCACCATGCCTGACCAAGTTACCTTCTTTCTGCTATGGCTTATAAAATGTTTTTTCAAAAACCACAGTGCAATCTACCAAAATAATAGGTACTTATTCAGCATCTGACATATGCATAACATTATACCAGCAGGCAGGGAAAGAACAGATAGAAATGGAAGATGTGGCATTAGAACCCCTAGGATCACATCCTTAAATCAGGATTTTAAAACTACTAAGTTCATTAAGGAAAAAAAATGAACTCAGCTTTTTCCAGCAGTATCTAAACATTTCTGTAAAGTTTTCTCACTCCCATCCTGGGAGAGACTGCTCACTGGACACCTCCCCACCACCCCTCCACGCCCCCCACCCACCCCCAAATAGGGAGATTCGCCAGCACCAAGGCACTGGGCACAGAAGCAAAGCAGAGATCTGAGGATTCAACTTTTAATGACTGTGCCTAGGCTTAGCCTTGTAGTCTAAGTAATGCTGCACAGATGGTGGAGAGCTACGTCAAAAGGGAAAGAAAGATGACATTAAATAGCAGAAGTGTTGCTGAATGTTATATTAATATAAAAATTGTTTTATAAAGTAGATACTAATTCCAAACCCACATAATAAGAATTAAACAATCACCAGAGAGGGAATCCTGAATAGGTGTGTCCCCCCCTGCTCTTTTTTCTGAGTAGTTCCTCTTTATTTTTTACCTTCTGCAACTTCATCCAGTAACACAGTGATTTTCTTATCTTCTAATAATCTATCTTTCAAAAATTTCATAAAGATTCCATTTGCTAATCCAGAATGCTGGATTTCAAAAGCTTCTGCTCCTTGACACCTTAAAAATAGAAAAAGAAGTTAAACCAGGCACAGAAAGGCAAATACTGTATGTTCTCACTTATATGTGGATGCTAATAAAAATGAACTCAGAGAAGCAGCCAGCAGAATGGTGATTACCAGAGGCTGGGAGGTGGGCACGGCACAGGGACTGTTAGTCACAGGGTACAATGTTTCAGTTAGGAGGAAAAAAATGGTAAGTATTTGAGGTGATATGTGAATTAACTTGATTCATTCATTCCACATTGAATACGTACATCATAGCATATCTTTGTATCCCATAAATACCTACAATTATAACTTGTCAATATCCAATAAAAATAATTTTTTAAAAAGAAAATGTTAGAAAAACAAACACTTGCCACATGGGACTTCTGTGTACACTGATGAGCCTCATTTTCTCTTCTGCCTCTCACATGACATCAATAATTAAAGAGTTAATCTTTAAGCAGGAACTACATGCCCAATTTGGGCTTAATAATAAGATACCACAATATGGAATGCTAAAGTTGACGATTTAAAATTTTCTACCAAGAACATCAAGGAGGTAAATTTATGCCTACATGTCTATAGGTATTTTCTAGGCCTCTAATCTAGAATCAAAAAGACCTCAGGAGCCAGGCACAGTGGCACATGCCTGTAATCCCAGCGACTCAGAAGACTGAGGCAGGAGGATTGCTTGAGCCCAGGAGCAGCGAGCTATGATGGCGCCTCTGCACTCCAGCCTGGGCGACAGAGTTAAGACCCCTGCTCCTAAAAAGCAAAAGCAAACAAAAAGATATCAAAGAATAAAGGAAACTTCAACGTAAACATAAAATTTTCTTACGTGGCATATCCAAACACAATATTGGCGGTGACTTTTAGTGCATCCAAGATTGGAATGGTATCATCGTAGTCATTTCTATTCAACGGAGGCAGAGAAGAGCAGACAGAAATATGAAAAGTTAAAGATCATCCTTAAAAGAGTATAAATAATGAGATAATACAACAGTATTTTAGAATACATAATTTAAAATTATAGATTCAAAATTTTTCATCTAGGTAGCTACATATCTACCCAAAATAACCCACTAACTCCTTGTTAGCTTTAAAACCGGAGTTGCATTTGAACTCTGGCATTGGATTTTGATTCGTAAATGCTGAGCAAGCAAAAAATAGTAAGTCTAGAGGCACTGGTTCTATTTCTTAGAAAGGCAATGGCAGATAAATGGGATCCAAACCTCCAAACATCTGCTTCGGCTACTCATTCTGTATCTGGAAGACCAGGACTGACTAGTGACCAGAAATCCCAACTCCATGGGTGCTGGTTTTGTTAATTCCTGAGGGAATAACTACAATGATTATTAAAGTCATCTAAAGGCATTCTGGAGAGTTGAATCCCCTGTAGTATGAGTAAATGCCCATGCCCTTTAGTTCTTTGTTTATGTTCTATAGCAAATATGAAGAGTTAAAATAATTAGATATACATGGAGTAAATATATTTTTCTCTAGTTTTGTTCTTCCAGTTTCAATGTATAAACTAAAATTCACACACGCAAATGGCTGTTAGCATTTCGCATGTTTCTCTAGTTTGTCAAGGTTGATATTTAACTCCAACAATTGTTTAATAAAGATTAGAAAATTTACCTTTTCCTACACATATCCAATAAGAATACATTAAGTCCAGTTTCTTTTTCTTGCATCAATTTCAGTATATTTTGTACACACAGACAATTTTCAGACCTATATGGATTTGGAGCATCAACAGGGACCATGAAGCTGTTCCCAAAATTTTCATAACCATGTCCTGCATAATACAATAACCCTTTGAAAAGAGGAAAATAAAAGAGAGGTAGATTTCAATTCTAAATGCACTGTGAACATACAGACTGCATAACTTTTTGTAAAAAAAAAAAACCATGACTTTAATTTTCTTCAAGGTGATGTGAGCATATGTAAGAAATACCCAATTACAAATATAGACAATGTTAATTTGCATTTAAAATTATTGGTAACAGGTCAGGCATGATGGCTCACACCTATAATCCCAGCACTTTGGGAGGCCAAGGCAGGGAGATCACTTGAGGTCAGGGGTTTGAAACCAGCCTGGCCAATGTGGTGAAACCCCATCTCTCCTAAAAATACAGAAATTGGCTTGGCGTTGTGGTGGGCACCTGTAATCCCAGCTACTTGGGAGGCTGAGGCAGAAGAATCACTTGAACCTGGGAGGTGGAGGTTGCTATGAGCTGAGATCATGCCGCTGCACTCCAGCCTGGGCGACAGAGCAAAACTCCGTCTCAAAAAAATAATAAATAAAAAAATTATTACCAACAATCTGTACTTAAAATTTGCATTTTAAGACAGTAACAAAATGCTGTCTGAAGTATATCCTAATTTATAAAAGTAATATATTTGTAACCAATAGTATAATCTAAAATACAATTTTATTTTATGATATATAAAAAAGAATGCAGCTAGGATTTCTCTCCTGACTCATTTGTCTCCTCCATGAAGCTAGGAGTTCTGTTAGGGCAGAGACAGTCTTACATTTATTTATTTGTGTATTCCTGGCATACAGCAGGAGCTTAGGAAGTATTTAACAGATGAACAAACACACACAATTCAGATGAACAGCACCTGCAATATGAAGTTAAGAAACTCCACAGGTATTACCATAAACATTAGTTAAGGGTTATTAAAATATAAAGGTAGTTTTATAATCAGAGATGGGAAATCTGATTTCACAGATTACTATTTTTTTCTTTTTGCTATGAGGTATGAATACCAATCTTCCATCTAGAGTCTTTTGAATTAATAATCTAAAATTTGCGATATTTTTAGGACTCAATAGATGAATCATATTTCCTTACTGAGAAATGATACTATAAAAACTAACACAACTCAATGTTTTCTTGAAAATAATTTTGTTTTGGCTGTAAAAAACAACAAAAATATCAGTCTGAACTTCTTCATAAAAATACTGGACAAAACACTTTTGAAGATATCCTCCCCTCTGCTTGCAATTTCTGGAGCCCACTAATTTTGCTCTCTCAATATTCTGGATTTAATTATTTCTTTACACGGTATTTTAAAGCAAACAGTAAAAGCCATTTAGATAGGGAATCCAAAATAGCTAATCCATTGTAATTATGGCCCCGACTCCTAGCAGAGACTGTGGCTTTGAGAATTAAAGACAATTTGCTGCATGTGGTCCTACAGGACAAAATCCACGTCGTCTGTTTTTTTTGAATTTCTATTAAAATGAGAAAAATGGTTCTTTCAAATACAACATTTCAGCTAAAATGAGAAAATAGATACAGCCATTTATCAAGTGTGGGTTCCAGCTCATGTGTGCTCTGGAAGTTATCACATAGGCACTGAGAGATGAAAAAGAAGGACGAAGACAAAGTTCCTAACCTCTAAGCAGGAGACCGGGAGATTCATGTATGGAGATTCACACATGTTTATGTTATCAAGCAACAATGAAAGTCATCATATAATTAAATGCCATAAGTCATGTTAGTGGAACAACCACCGTGTATGTATGAAATGAATAAAGTACAGAGAGGAATATCAGTATGAAGTGAAACAACAGGGGATGGTCTTAAGAGAGGGAAAGGCTAGAAATTTGGAAAGGCAGAGAGAGAGCAAGGTAGATTATGGGCAGGAGAACAGAAACAAACAGATAGGACCTGGAATGAAAGCTAACAGAAAAGAGACTAGCTTAGCAAAAAACTAAATTACTGTTGTGAATGAAAATAAGACAGCACACATAGGGAATTTTATTTTATTTATTTATTTATTTATTTATTTATTTATTTTTTGAGACGGAGTCTCACGCTGTTGCCCAGGCTGGAGTGCAGTGGCGCGATCTCGGCTCACTGCAAGCTCCAGGCTCACTGCAAGCTCCGCCTCCCGGGTTCCCGCCATTCTCCTGCCTCAGCCTCCTGAGTAGCTGGGACTACAGGTGCCCGCCACCGCGCCCGGCTAATTTTTTGTATTTTTAGTAGAGACGGGGTTTCACTGTGGTCTCGATCTCCTGACCTTGTGATCCGCCCGCCTCGGCCTCCCAAAGTGCTGGGATTACAGGCTTGAGCCACCGCGCCCGGCCGGGGAATTTTAAAAAGGAGTGCACAGATAGGTTTTAAAAATAATGACCAAAAGAATGGATTTAATTCAATAAACGACAAAGATCAGGTAACTGAAAAGACAACCCACACAACAGGAGAAAATATTTGCAAATCATTTATCTGATAAGGACAGCTTGTATCCAGAATAAAGAACTCTTCCACTCATCAGTAAAAAGACTAATGACGGCCGGGCGTGGTGGCTCACACCTGTAATCCCAGCACTTTGGGAGGCCAAGGCGGGTGGATCACCTGAGGTCATGAGTTCAAGACCAGCCTGGCCAACATGGTGAAACCCCATTTCTACTAAAAATACAAAAACCCAGCCAAGTGTGGTGGTGGGAGCCTGTAATCCCAGCTACTCAGGAGGCTAAAACAGGAGAATCGCTTGAACCCAGGAGGCGGAGGATGCACTGAGCCAAGATCCCGCCACTGTACTCCAGCCTGGGCAACAGAGCAAGACTCTATCTCGAAAAAAAAAAAAAAAAAAAAAAAAAAAGACTAATGACTTGATTTAAAAATAGGCAAAGATCTGATGCTTCTCCAAAGAGGATGTATGAGTGGCAAATATGCACATGAAAAGATGCTCAACATCATTAGCCAGTAGTGAAATGCAAATCCAAGTCATTTCACACTCACCAGGATGGCTACAATAAAAAGACAGACAAGAACAAGTGTTGGCAAGGATGCAGAGAAATTGGAACCCTCATTCATTTCTGGCGGCACAAATGTAAAATGGTGTAAAGAACTTTGGAAAGAGTTTCGCAGTTCCTCAAAAAGTTAAATACAGATTACCATATGACCCAGGAATTTCACTCCCAGGTACATACCGAAGAGAAATGGAGACTATGTTCACATAAGAATGTGTACACAAATGCTCACAGCAGTATTATTCATAACGTCCAAAAATGTCCATGAGATGATAAATGATAAACAAAATACAGCATATAATTGAATATTATCTACTCCTAAAATAATGAAGTTCTAGTACATGCTGCAATATGAACGAACTTTGAAAACATTATGCGAAGTGAAAGAAGGCAGACATAAAAGGCCACATATTGGGTGATTCCATTTATATGAAATGTCCAGAAGAGGCAAATCCAGAGAAACAGAATATAGATTTGTGGTTGCCAGGGGCTGGTGTAAGGAGGAATGGGAGTGACTGTTGATGGATACAGGGTTTCTTTTTGGGATGATGGAAATGTTCTGAAGTTAGGTAGTGGTGACTGATGCCCCACCTTTGTGAAGATACTGAAATCACTGAATTATACACTTAGAAAATAGAGTACAACTTATACTCCTCTATCAAGTATTCAAAACATAACTCTATTTTCCATCAGTCTCTTTACTGCTTCAAGAGCAAGACAAACTTATTTTTAACCTCCACAACTTTGCTCAAGTTACTCTATCTCCTTTCTATCTACTCTCCTCAAGGGTTATTTCCAAAGGTCAGAATCCTTAGCAAGTTACTACCTGGTAACCACTACCTGGTAACTGGTTTGTGGCTTTCTAACACACTTCAAATTCTCCCTACCTTGAAATGCTGTAGCAGCACTTTCTGACAATCACATACAGGCTTTTCCTGATATTGTATAGTCCTATGTCTACTTAGTTTTTCTGATAAGAAATCATAATGACACTAATCTTTTACATTTGCACACTCTGAGTAGCTCTTATCTGAAATGTTTGGGACCAGGAGTGTTTTGGATTTGGGGTTTTCAGATTAGAGATACTCAACCTGTATATTTTCTTGGTTTTCAAAGGACTTTCATACACACAATTTAATTTTAATCTATATAATAACTTTAAATGATTTCTATCCTTATTTTATAGATGAGAAAATTAAATTACAAAGATTAAGTGATTTGCTTAAAATCACAGAGTTGATGTATGTTTTGACTCCATAGATAGTGTTTTTTCTCATTGTATTAAAGGACAATAATTTTCTTTTTTTGAGATGGAGTTTCACTCTTGTTGCTCAGGCTGGAGTGCAATGGTGCGATTTCAGCTCACTGCAACCTCCCGGGTTCAAGTGATTCTCCTGCCTCAGCCTCCTGAGTAGCTGGGATTACAGGCATACACCACCACGCCTCGCTAATTTTATATTTTTAGTAGAGACAGGGTTTCTCCATGTTGGTCAGGCTGGTCTCAAATTCCAGACCTCAGGTGATCTGCCTGCCTCGGCCTCTCAAAGTGTTGGGATTACAGGCCTGAGCCACTGTGCCCGGCCTGGGACTAAAACTTTCTTAAAAGGACAGATCATGATCTGTATTCACTATTATTTCCCTCAGCACACAGCATACTCCTTCATCTGGACTGTCGATGTAACGAAAATAACTCAGCAAATACTTACTGAATTGCATTAAATTAACAATGCAAACCAATCAAGACAGTCTCAGATCTGGAGTTCTCTTTTCAAGGGTCTTTTAGTAGAAATGGTACCATTTCAACAACTGGTATTACTTAGAGACAACTGACAGCAGGCCTAGGTGCTGCCTCCCTCATGTCAGGTAATATGTTTGGCTCCAGCAAGACTTGACTGGGGTGAAGACACAACTCTGAGGGAAGGCTTAGCTTCCATTCATACAGGGAAAAGCTGAATGTTGTTCTGTTACATTAATGCCACATGCCCAGCCCTGCAACTGCTGAATGAAATTAAGGCACTTAACACCAACATATGTTTTTTCTTTCCCAA